ATGCAGCATCCGGACGGGAAAATGGCAAGATAATGCGCTGGGCAGCGAAGCCCTTTCTAGCACACTGTCCCTCTGCAACTGTGCAGAAATCAGAAGGGAGGTGGATGCCTCACGCCTGCTCTCCCTCCCCGGGGATGGTCAGAGCCCCCAAAGCTCTAACTGCCTCATTTAAAGCGAGTCGGTTGCCTTGAGCCACAGGCAGCAGGATTCTCGGAAGAGGTGGAACCAGGGCAGGCCTCCGCGGCAGCCCACGGCTCTCCGGCCGAGCTCGGGTTTCCTCCCCTAAGCCACCCAGGCACAGCGCCCCCCCAAAGCGCCCAGCGACTCGGCCTCAGCCTCACACTTTGATCCCCCCCACCCCACGATAATGTGATCTTTGGTAGTGGATTTTTGGGGTACTGGTCGCGTTGGGTTTCCTTACTACGCCTCCTCCCTCAGTTGAGGCCAGTAAAGAAGGAGTTCAACGGGGATCCTAGTGAGATGTACTGGTGGAATACTATTAATCCTAATAATTATGTTCCCAGAGCAGGTAACTTAAAAAACTGAGAATGGGAAGATCAGAGCAGGGTTTTCCAAGCGGGGCCCTCTTGAATTCTCATTGGATCCTGCCCAGAAGCCTCAGTCACTCTTGCCGCTTTAATCTATCAGGATGACTACAGCTTTGCTCACTAGTTCTCTCTTTATCTCGGTGTCCTCAACACATCCTTTCACTTTTCTTTGCAGATTTATCTGTATTCCACCTCCTGCTCCTTACTGTGCGGGGGTATAGAGTCTGTAAACTTTCACTTTGCCTAAGGACCACCACAAATAAGCCCCCTCACCACCACAACACCCACCCCCCAATAAAAGCGCCATTCACGTTTTGCTTCTTTTCCTTGGAGTTTCCAGCTCCCTGTGGCACTGGTTTTTACTTGGTTACATGCCACCGGGAACTGCTGATTATTTCAAAGTCCTGCTACCCTGCAGATCACTACTTTACCTTAATTTTGAAGACCATGGAATATCTGTCTGAATCTTGGATGTATTTTTCTCACAGTCATCTTGCTTCCTGAAATTTCCTCTGGTAAGTTATTCTCTTTATACACTATCTGTAACTAGTGCTATTTTTAAGAAGAATTATTTGTCATATCTCATTATCGCATTTTTGTTACCTCCAGAACTGAAAGATCTGACCATGTTTATTAATTAGTGTGCCGGCTGCAATTGAACTAAAAAGACGTAATCCATTACCCCAATACATTTTACATTCTTTCTTAAACTTTCTTTTCTCATTTTATTACAGGTTATATGGATATTAACTCTCTCCAACCCCCATTAACCCCTCTTGACACAGATTTTTATGCTATTTGAAAGGTCAAATTTCATGTTTATCTAAGAGCAAGCTTAAATGAGATTACTGAGATTATTTGGGAAAGTTCCCTAGTTTCTCTGATCTTCAGAAGGTTGTTCAGGTCAATGTGTGTTCATTCCATTGTAAGCAACTGCATGATGGGGGGGCTTTGCTTTGTATATTTTTATGGATGTAGCTAGAGCTTAAGCATCAACATGCTACTATGTGGTAAGAAGGATCAGTGAGTTTCAAAGCACTGTTTTTTCTTACAGCACCCTAAATCACTCATGAGCATATTATTTTGAGCACTGCGTGTGCATTCAGGAACAGTATCAGGAAGTATATTTCTGATTTTGCGAATGAGCTGGGAAACGGTTAATTGGACAGGGACTGAGTGCTCTTTTCACAGAAAAGCAGCATCAGAATAAACCACTTTTGCTTCTAATAAATTGAAATTCAGGGGCCTCAATTGCCTTAGTTTCACACTTTCCCAACCCCACCCTCAATTTTTAATAAGTGTATAAATACATGTCGTTACTGCTTCACGCTTTTATGAACAGTTCCATGGGCTTAGCTGACAGGGTTATCAGCTCCCCGTTAAGTATGGTTGTTTTGAGAAACATTTAAATCTGCTTTTACTTCACACATTGACAAGCGATTGATATTCATTAAAAGCCAGATCTCCACGTATCAGTGATCTCTAATCGGTATTGAAGGTTTTCTCTGTGAACCGTCCCTCTATTCACCCCCCAGGACAAGTTTCTTCTGCTTTCTGTAACATTTCCCCTTAATGGGATGGATTGAGGTGAGAACCTATTGTCTGAGCTTTTCTTTCTTTTCTTTTCTTTTTCTTCGTGTCTTCTTTTCCTTTTCTTAAAAAAAAAAAATCTCGGAAAGAACTATTTCTGTCGTCATTAATAGCTGACGCGACAACCCAAGCAAGGATTTTTTTTTTTAATTCAAAAGCCCTTTTAGCTTCCAGACATAAAAGTACTCCAGCTGCAGCGCCACCCCATCCCCCGCCCGCCTCCAGTCCCCGATCCAGGGCTTTCCCCCTTTGGCTCGGCCGAGAGAGGGTCGGGCTGACTGTCCGCAGCGCTGTCGCCCCTCACCGTCACTAGTTTCTACCTGGTCTCCGAGCTAGTCCGACCGTCCTGCCTGCCGAGACAGTGCCTCGCGTCCGTGACTTCATTAGAGGAAGCGAGGGTTCAGTGCAATTCTCCAATCCCAACCTCCTCTTTGGAGGTCTGCTGCTGTTGAGCAGGAGTGCAGGGAGGGGGGAAGCAACTTTCCGTGCAGTCTTTCCCTGTAGCCTAGTCTCCTCCAGCAAGGCACGGACCTCCGGAATTAGGTAAGTGTGCTTTACGGAATCCTAACCTGAGGCTTGCGCTCCGCCAAGGGGATGTGTGTCCCGGAGGCTCCCGCAGCCCAGAGGGTTTTAAGCAGAGGGCTATCAACAGGCGACTGTGCCGAGAGATTTCTCCGCAGCTCGGGGCCACGCGGAGGCGAAGTGCGGGGTGACCGCTGTGCC